GGCACATAACCACCACCACCACAATAGGATTTCCTGGTTTGGCACTTTGGAGTAATGCTCTGGACCGCAAAGTCAGAGTGAATTGCAAACCTGGCAGTTCAAGCTTACCAGTTGCTCCTAGGAAACCCTATACTGGGTTGCTATGGGGTGGGACTGACTTGATGGTACTTAACAGGGTTTCCAAGTCTGTAAATCTTTATGGGAGCAGAAAGTCTCATGTATTTCCTGCAGTGTGGCTGGTGGATTTGAACTGCTGACCTTGTAGTTAACAGTCTAGTACTTATCCTATAGCAACACCAGAGTTCTAGTCTGCCCCACAGGGTTGCTACAAATTGGAATTGACTCAAAGGCAATAGGTTTGGTTTGGTTATTTCCAATACATACATATATACTGAGTTATTTATAAGTTACATGCATATGTTGTTCCATGTTATATATGTAATAAAATATATACACGTAAAGGAAACTCAAATATAAGATTTAAATAAAAGTTCTAAGATTTTCTTCTTATCCCATAATTTATTTTGAGCACCACAGGTTGGGATGATTTTCGTATGTCTAAATTATCTCCTAGATGTTGTTGTTGTTGCTATGTGCCATGGAGCCGGTTCTGACTCATAACGACCCTGTATTGTACAGTGTTTCCTAGGGTGTACATTTTTACAGGAACAGAACGCCTCATCTTTCTCTTGCAGAACAGCTGGTAGTTTCGAACTGCTGACCCCGAGGTTAGCAGCATGATTTGTAACCATAGATATTACCAATTTACTTTAATAATTCATTTATGGGTATAAAAGAAGACACATTTTTTTCCCTCAGTTTTGGAGTCAAAATTCCAAATACATTTTAAGGCAGCATTCCTACAGTACACTGCTTCATATGGCTCTTCTACTCAGAGCTATTGTAACTCCCAGGAAACAATGTGTTCTTTTTCCTGATGGGTCAGCATAAGAGAAAGCCAGAGAAGATTTTGATAGGCTAGTATGTTTCAGCTGTGAGCAGTTAGTAACAGGAGACATTGTGATAATAAAAACACTACTGGGTATAAAGTGAGCCATCAGAAGCTGTAGGGGAGGGCAGATTTCACTAACATCAAAGAAAAGAGTTAGGTTTGGAATGTGTCCTGTAGACCCCGAGACCCCTGCATTGATCCTTCTCAATCAAGGGGAGTGGCTGAGGAGTAGCGGCAGCAGAATGAAGAGTCTGAACACCAGACACAGCGGTGGGCTTCCCAGCCCCTGGAGCAAGTGAGCTGAGTGCATTTGGCAGCTCATTTTTGGAGTGGGGTGCCCCCAGGCATTTACCTGGGGTGCTAGGTTTGTTGACCCACAGAGCTACAGCGTAGTGTCTGTGAGCTGAGGCTCACAGCTGCAAGGAGGGTCCTTTGGGCATTTACCAGAAGCCGTGAAAGAGCTCTGTAATACTGTGGAACAGGGCAGAGTCCAGGTCAAGCAGCTGAGGACCAGTGAGAGGCCTGCCTGACTGGAAGAACTCTGCCCTAAGCATTTGTAACCTGTTGTTTCCCTAATAAACTCCGTAAGTGTGAGCATGGTGTCTGAGTTGTGTGTGGTCATGGCAATGTGAGCCCAGCAAGTAAGAGAATGCTGTGGGACAAAAGACTAGGGTGGGTTTTGCATTTCGACGGCATCACGATGAGTCAGAACTGACTCCATAGCACTTAGCATCAACTAATGGAGGCTCTAGGAGAGAATTTGTTTCCATACATTTTCTAGCTTCTAGATGTCACTCACATTCCTTGATTCATGTCCCTTTTCTCCATCTTCAAAGCTGTCAATGAAGCATCTTTAAGTCTCTTTGAATGATAATTCTTAAATAACAAAGG